GGACCTTCAGTGGGGACATGCTTCTCCAGTGGCCGTCTTCCAGTCCAACAGAGCTCCAAGGCCCACCTCAGCATCCCCGTTCAGGACCCGGACGATGGTGGGTTTAGAGACATTGATTCCTGCACAAAGCCCCTGTCTAAGGGGGACACCCGCTCCCCGTGCAAAGGGCTGGCTTCTGCTGGTGGGAATTCACATGTGGGGCCGTGGCCCAAACTCCAAGACTCAAATAACGGGTCCTGGTGGGAAATCGGCCACCAGGGTGCGTGGACTTCTCGCGAGGTAACGTGTAAAGGGACTGCTGCTCGTTGGACAGCCCGCCAGGAAAGGAGTCTTAGGGGAAAATGAACAGACGTGCCCCCAAGAAAAGTAAAACTTAAAAACGTCAGCGGCTCCTCTGACTCACAAAAATCAAAAACGGGCCACGGAAACGGCCAAGACGTCCCTCGGGAAGGGAGCGGGTCAGCCGCGGTCCATCCAGACAACGGGACGCTGTGCAGAGCTAAGAAGAAATGAGCGATCGGCCGTGAAGAGACGGGAGAAACCGTAAATGCACAGTCAGCGACCGGAACAGCCGGAACAGTCACACGCTGCCTGGTTCCAGCTCTGTCACGGTGGAAACGGTGGCTGGGATGGGGGGGGGCAAGGGGCACAGGGGATTTTCCGGCAGAGAAAATACGGTGTGACACCCTCCTGTGGACGGACATGTCATTCCCTGTTGCGAGGCCCATAAAATATGGCACTGAGCAGAATATAAATCTCAGGTGTTAGTTAGCAACAATGTATCAGTACTGGCCCAGGATAACAGGAATGTAAATCACAGGTGTTAGTTAGCAACAATGTATCAGTACTGGCCCAGCAATGTGACAAACACGCCCACAGTGCTAATGCTGGGAGAGGCCATGAGGGTGGTGGAAGGGACTTCCCTCTGCAGGACTCCGAGGCCCAGCCTCCCTGCAGCAGGACAGCACCTCTTCCAGGGGGTGAAGGACAGGACAGCCAGGTGTTGAGCACGTGCTTGGTCACCCCGTGACGGAGCTGCCACTCCGGAGCGGTGTCACCGCTGGCCCTGGGCTAGGCTCTCAGCTCATCCCGGAACCAGCAGTGTTTCAGCAGAGACTGTCCTGCTGCCGTGGGCGGGGGGGACAAGGACCACAGACTCCCACCAGCCCTGCGCTCACAGGGCCAGCGGTTTTCTAAGGAACACGTCCTGGCCCTTCCTTTAAACGGACAAACCGGGTCATTTGTCCCCAGGAAAGATGTGGGTCCCTGGATAAAGGCCACCACCGACATCTCACGGGGAGGTGAAGGGGCCTCTCCGTGCTGAACGCTGGGTGTGGACAGTCATTCCTTCCTGGTCCCTCTGACAGCACAAAGCAGCAGGAGATCTGAGCTGGCTGGGGCAGGGGAGGGGGGCGCCTGGGGATGGGGGCTTCAGGGCAGCTCCTCCTCCTCTTCCTCTGCAGGTGGACACCCGGAGCACCTACTGCCAGGGCCGGGACATCCACACTCACATTATCACAGGGGAGCTGTGAGCAGCACACTGTCCCTCCCCGTGTCGCAGGGAGGGCTGGGTCTCAGAAGACGTCTGTCTACTAGGAAAGTAAGTGGACGGAGGGACCTGAGCCGTGGGCAGGGGCGGGCGGGTCTGTGGATCCTCAGGGCACCCTCCCCAGGGAGCAGGGTGGGCCCAACCCCCGAGGTGAAGGGCAGTGACACGAGTAGGGTCTCCAGAGCAGGGCCCCAGGCGCCCACAGGCGCACCTCGGCTCCAGGTCAACATGAGACGAAAACAGGAACCTCGTGGACAGAACACTGACCTCGGAGCCCAGAACCCCCAAAGCTGGGACAGTGGGGTGTCATTTCAGTCCCCATGTGTCCTCGCGGGCTTCATTTCTCCTACCTCCGTTTTCTCTTGCCAACGAGTCCCCAGCGTCCAGGGAGACACCAAGACACCCACCCTGCTGCGGGCCCGGGGGACAAGCACACGTCCCGTGGGAAGCAGAGGACCTAGACCCCAGCTCTCGGCCGACTCACAAGAAATACTGGATTTCCCTGACCCTGGACGTCGTCCCGTAACTAAGAGCGACGGCAAGCCGCTCCACGGATCGCAGGTGTCACTCACCCAGGTCACGCGTGAAGAAGCTGAGGGCTGGCCTTGCTCCAGCAGCTAAGTCCTCACCAGGGTCACACCCCGCTTTCTGCCTCTGTGTGTTCCCGACGGCACAGCCTCGCCTGAGGGGACATCCTGCCCGGCGTCCAGCAGGAGTGAGCTCGGTCCACACGCTAGCGTCCCGCCCGTGGTTGGTTTCCTACCTGGCCGCCAGCCCAGGGCCGGACCCGTTTCTGCTCTCTACCTCCTTCGTCCCACGGAAGGGCGACCCGGCCCTGGTCTGGAGCCTCTGACCGTGGCGCTGGTGCCACAGGGCAATGACAACAGCGTGTCCCCAGTGCTGACGCGCTCTGGGGAGCTGGCTCACCCTTGGCCGAGCTTTCCTCCGGTGTTCCCACCAGGCCTGTGGACCATCAGAGGACACCCGAGGCACCCAGCAGCCCAAGTCAGCAGGGGCTGGACCCCATCAGACAGGGGCCAGGGCCTGTGTTCTCGATCGAAGCTTCACCATCTCCCGAGAAATCCAACGTGCCTGCGTGTAGGGAGCCTGCCCGGGCAGTGACCACGGACCCAACTGTCTGGAGAGTCACGTCTCAGCCCCCGGAGGGCCCTCCTGCGCCCCCTGCTCGTCTCCAGGGCCGGCTGAGAATCTATGGCCCTCTGTTCCCCCAGAGATGGCGTTAGAATTTTGGAATAAGAAGGGGCTTTGTTATTGCTGGTGGTGTTCTCTCTTGCCATTCAAAGCTGCGTTATCGAAAAAAATGAATACGGACACATTCCCCCACCGTGATCTAATAAGAGTAAAAGCTTATCTGCCTCTCAGCAAACTGCCAGTTTCTGCAGCTAGAAACGCCATAATCAGCGATAGTTAAGACTTTTGGAATATTCTTTGAAGCAAAGAATTCAATCCCCTAAGTAGTTGGCTGGGCTGTCTTTAAGAAATGGAGCCAACAGCAGCGGCTCAGGTCTGCAGCTGCAGGTCAGGGTGGCCGGCCAGCAATAGTGTCACAGGTATGTACACCCACCCATGCACACGCACTCATGCACACTCACACATGCACACCCCCACACAAGGACACTCACAAATGCACACCCACACGTGCACTGGTGTGTATGCTCAAACATGCACACTTGTGTATACACACTCGCACTCGCACACGCACACCCACACATGCAGCAATGTGTGCACTCACACATGCATGCGCAGGAATGACACAGGACCCTCTGGGGGTGGCTCCTCCTCAGCCCCCACCCCCGTGGTGATGAGTCACCAGCTGTGCTGGACAAACTCCCTATGAAGAAGACCCTCAGAGGTCGGAGGGGCTCGTTTAAATCTTCACAGGCACTGGGGAAACCCTCATTGAAATCCGAAGCAGTCCCCAAGGTGGCCTTTACCCACGCGCCCCGTGCAGGAACCTGTGCTCCCACACGAGCCTCCGGTGACAGTGCAGAGCTCACACCAGAAGGGCGTCCACGCAGGCGCAGCCGACCCGAACCAGGCCCAGCTGGACATCAGCCTGCCCATGCGTATGTATGAGCAGGAACCTCCTGGCCTCCCCGGAGCCGGCCAGCCTTCCCCAGAGCAAGACCAGAAGTGAGACCGCGAGCGACCGCAGGCAGGCCCAAGGCCCCACCACAGACGCCTGTGCTCAGAGCAGCTCCAGACGCAAACCATGTGACATCTCAGACGGGGACGCGTTTGGAGAGGACAGAAGGGGCTATGGCTCGGGCTGAGTAGCAGCACAACAGAGGGGCACACTGTGCTACTTTACATGTGTCCCGGATTCCCCACAACGAACATTAAAAAGAAAAGTCACTTCATTTCTTTCCTGAAAGAAAAACATAGGGCTGGACTCACTAGTCGTTCTTCCAACTTTGTGCATGTGAACATGTACATGTGTGTGTGCATTGGACACGTGCGTGTACATTTGTGTGTGTGTGCAAGGAGTGTGAACTGTGTGTGCATGCCTGCATGTATCCGTGTGTGCATGCACATGTATTTGTGCATGTCTCCGTGTGTGCGTGTGTGTCGTGGGGAGGGTGAAGGACACCAGGTCCCGGGGCCTCCTGTGCAGGGTACACCCTGCGAAGTCAGGTCCCGGACCATGAGGCCACCTCCTGCACACATTCCTCCCACTCGGCTGAGGACCACGGGAATTCCCAGAAACAGCAGCAACAAACCCAAGACACTCCGAACCCCACCTCCCCGGACCTCCAGCGTGGGCAGCTGGCGGGACATCTGATGGGCCCCAGAAAGGAGGGCCCCGCTTCCGGTAACTCTGTGTGTGGAAAGTGTGGGAGGTGCAGACACAGTGACCAGGGTGAAAACCAGGGCCCCATCCAGGGGTGCCAGCAGCTCCCACAGTCGTTCATTCCCAAGCCACCTCATTTCCTCCGAGTCAGAGTCCCCCCCCGCCAGGAATCCTGGGGGGACACCGGCCACGCAACCCTCCAGGGGACACGCAAAGACAGGACCGCCACCCCGATTCAGGCCCCGACTCCCGGGACGGTCTGGAAGCCCAAGCAATCTGAACAACTACCCTGAAACGAAGCCAGCCAGCTCCTCCCCCAGGCCGGGGGTGGGCCGAGACCCTTCCCCAGCCCTCTCTGCCGGCAGGGAGGAAGGGATCGTGTGTTAGGGAGAACGGGCTTGACGTGGCCAAGACAACATCAGCCGATTCTCATCTGAAACCAGATTCTCAGGCGGTATTTTCTATAACTCAGAACATGGGTCTCATAGCTGCTCGGTTTCTTCTTGAGGTGAAACGTATCCCCGATCAGAAAGCACCTACAGCCTTTCTGGAGTTTCCCCCTGTGGCCGAGGTCCAGCCCCCGCCCCCGGGGTATCACTTGCGGCAGGCCCACGGCGGGGGCCCGGGGCGCCCGCTTACCTTGGCTTCACATTGTCTGTGGCAGGGGTACTTGCAGGCTGCAAGAGAAGAGACAGGGGTGTGCTCAGAGGTCTCGGGAGTGGACCGTCCCACCTGCGTGTGCAGGGACCCACCCGAGCTGGCGCGTCAGACGGCCCTGGGGATTCTGGGCAGTCACAGGGGGTCCCGGGCGCGGGCGCCACACCAGAACCCTGAAGCTCAGCGGGGGGACCCCAGCAGTGAGCACCCCTGTCTGCCTGGAGACCACAGCTTCTCCCAGAAGAAGGAGAAACTTGAAAATGTCCCGGAGCATCGGGACCGGGCCTTCACTTCGCGAGAAAGTCGCACATTTGAGTGACACACTCCGGCCCCTTCCAGACACTGAGCACTGACGGACGAAGTCACATGCAAATCTCCGCGGGGACCCTTCCCCGAGCCACCGTGCGAACTCGGAGGGGCATGTGTCGCCTCAGACACCCCGACAACGCAGATTTCCAGCCGCACTGATGCGATGTCACAGCCTCCAGCGGCAGCAGCTGTGCCCCCACCCGTCTCCAGGCAGAGGCACTGGGCAAGGGGGCAAATGACCCCACAGCCCCCCGCGGGCTCCATGTGGACGCCAGGAGGGCAGCCCTCAACGCCCAGGCGAGCCCCTGGGGCAGGGACCTGGGCACGGGCTGCGGCTTCCCGGCCCTCCAGCTGGGCTGCCCTGGGCAGGGCCAGCGACCGCTCTGGGCCTGTTTTCTCCCCCAGGGTCACTGAGATGCCACAAGGAAACCATTCAAAGGAGCTGCTCTGAAACGACAGGAAGCGTGTGGGGTCCTAGGAGGACGAGGCCTCGGAGGCCAAAGCACGAGCCCCAGATCTGGTCAGGCAGCGCCCATCATGCCCGGCCTTCCCCGAGCTGGGCGCAGAGATGCCGGCTTCGCACAGGCCCAGGTAACGGGGTTCCTGGACCTCGGGCAGGGAATGCCCGGGTCGTCTTCACGGACCTGTCCTCTGAATCGTCTGTCTGTGCCCCTGAGGTTTGCGAATTGATGACTCTACATCTCATGAGCACACCCCACCAAGGCGTCCGGAGCCTCTGACCAAGACGGGTGTGGCCGAGGGAAGGGCTTCGCACCAAAGCTGCGGACGGAAAGCAGCGGACCCTCGCTCTCTGGGCGGTCTGCGGTTGGAAGCCCGTGACCAGCAGGGCCGTGCGGGGTCCCTGACCTCCACTGGGCACAAAGCAGTCCCCAGGAAGCAGGGAGGCCACAGAAGCGCCAGAACTACCCCCCCAAACCCTGCACCCCAAACCACACAGGCCCAGAAGGACAATGTGCACACGGATCCTGACCGCCAGCCTGTGTCCCCCACTCTCCTCCAAACCAACACCGGCTAGGACTCGGGGCTTCCTCCCAGCCTCCCTGAGGATAACGGACAGACAGAACTGCGTGTGTTCAAGTGCAGCGTGATCCTCTGACACACGTACACACTTCAATCAAGTGAACGATCAAGTGAACAAACACCTCCCCCACCTCCCCGGGAGGGACCGACAGCCTCCCCCATGAGCATCGGCTTCGACTGACCCGTCCGGTCTGAGCAGCACAGAGGGTGGAGGGAGAAAGACCGTCTCTGGCCGACTGTGTTTGAGCTGGAATATTTCTCCTGTGTGTGGACCTGGACTGGGACCACCCCGTGGTTCTCCTGGGCCCAGCTTGCCCACGGCAGGTCGTGGGCCGGCTCAGCCTCCGGCACCACACACGCGGACTCCGGAGAGTGAATCTCTCTCTCGGTGCCTCCCCCACCGGGAGCACCTGCCCGACACAGCGCTGAGCAGACTAAGCCCAGAGCAGCCGGAGGACCCGGCCGCCCTACGACGTCACGGAAGCACGAGGAACTCACACCACAGGGCTGCTCCTCACGCGTGATGACCAGCGGGACCAGCTGTCTGCCACGGAAGAAAGCCACCGCCCACGCAACGGAGAAATCATACACCCACAAATACAGCGGTGGGGCGAGGAAAACCCACGGCTCCCACAGACCGATACGTGGTGACGATGACGCTACATCAGGAGAAAGAAAACTGCATACGACGCACACAAACCACCTCAGTAAACACCGACCCACAACGGGCCGGACACGCAACGGGCACCCACGTGTGAGACGGGAGAGGCGTCTGCACAGCTGGGGCCACGCCGGGAAAACGGCTCCCTCGCGAAACACAGCAGAAATAGCAGGAATTCCAAAGGAATCACCCGTGAAATTGGGTCAGAATGGGAAAAGCAGAACGAGCATTAGACTAAACGAGAAGCGTCTTCATGACCGTGGAGGAGGGAGGATGTTCTTAAATGAGGAACAAGCCCGGCCAGCGTGGCTCAGTGGATGGAGCCCTGTCCCGTGGACTGAGAGGTCCCAGTTCGATTCCCAGTCAGGCCACCTGCCGGGGTTGTGGGCTCGATCCCCAGTAGGGGGCGTGCAGGAGGCGGCCGACCAATGTTTCTCTCTCACATCGATGTTTCCATCTCTCTCTCCCAAAAAAAATCAATAAAGCCAGGCTGGTGTGGCTCAGTGGTTGAGCATCGACCCTGCACCAAGAGGTCGCCGGTTTGAGTCCCGGTCAGGGCACATGCCCAGGTTGTGGGCTCCATCCCCACTGGGGGGCGTGCAGGAGGCGGCCAACTGATATTCTCTCTCATCGATGTTTCTATCTCTCTCTCCCTCTCCCTTCCTCTGTCTCTCAGGTCAATAAAGAAAAAAAAATTTTAATCAATGAAAACATATTTTACAAAAAGAAAGAAACAAAACAGAAACTAAATGAAAGGCTGGGCGGAGCCAGGCCTTCAAACTTCCACCCAAACCCCTGGGCACACCGGTCGAGACGGCAGCCATGGGCATGTCTGGGTGGAGCACGCCGGGTGCGGAGATGCCGGGTCAAAGCCCCCATCACGGCACAGATCTGCTCCTCACAACCCATCAAAAGTTTAAAATGTATAACACAATGAATTCTTAGAAACCAAAAAGGAAAAACTCTGACATTTTATTTTATTTATTTATTATTTTTTGCATTTATCTTCAGACGGAGTGGGAGGTGGAGAGAAGGGAAGACAGAGAGAGACACATCGACTGGTCGCCACCCACACGACCCCAAACGGGGCCGGGGACACACTGCAACCGAGGTACGTGCCCTTAGCGGGAACCGAACCCGGGACTCTCTGGTCCGCGGGCCGACACTAACCACTGAGCCAAACTGGCCAGGGCTCCTGTGACGTTTTACTGAGAAAGGGTTCGAAGGCTCGGTTACTAAGCAAACACCACAGTCGGCTTCTCTGTATCTTTATGGAAGCTCACCCTCCCTATAAACCAGGCGGATGAACAGAGGGACCAGGGAGCGGCCACCGGCACCCATCACCTTGCAGAAACGAAGAGCCGAGCAGGTGGGGGAGTTCAACCGGACGGTCCAGGCCGGGTGGCGAAGGTCACCTCCCTCCGGGGCCTGTGCCTCCCCCGCCTCCTGCACCCCACAGCTGAGGGGGCGCCCGGACTCGGAGGCTCCGCGGTCACGGGCAGGAATCCCGGCGCCCCCAGCAGCAGCGACGCCCGTGGCGCTGGCGTTGACACGGCCAACATTTTTCCGCGTTGCCCTGGAATTACTATTCTTCTGTGTCTCCGGGAGCCGAGAATCCAGGCCGCTGTCCCGCAGGCCGGCGGGGCCTTTATTCAACACCCTGCGCCTGTTTGCCGAGCGAGGAGCCCGGCAGCCCCGTGTCTCCGGCGCTCCCAGGTTCACCGCATCCTGTTCCCTGGGCACGGGTCCCCGACTCCAGGCACGTCACTGTGACCACGCCCAGCACTTACCTCGCCATGTGTCCCCAACGTCACCCAGGGAGACACAGTGTGCGAGGGCGCAGGCTGCTGACCATGGTTCTGGCCCGACACGCGTGTGGGGTGCCCGGCGGACGTGAAAGAGGCTGTGTGGTGCCCTGGCTGCCCGTCGGCAGCCCAGGTGGGGTCCACGTCCCCCACCTTTTGAGACAACTCTCTGGGGTCTGACGGGGAGGCGGGGGCATCACGGGACCCATCGTGCGCCCTATTGCCCACCGTGGCCCCAGGACCGGGCCGAGGCTGGGCGCGGTGGCCATGCAGCGTGGTGTCAGGTCCTGCCCGTCCACCGCCCGCGGCTCCGAGCCCTGTCTCATCTCTGTGACACCCTGCAGCCCGGGCGGATAACCTGTGACCACCTGCCCTTCCCTGGAGGAAGCCGCTACCCCGTGGGGACCTCCTCCCGGGCGTGTTCCGTGGCCACGCCTCGCTTCTCGAGCAGGGCACCTCGCCAGCTCCTGCAGGGACAGCCAGGCCCCGCGTGGCAGCAAGACGCCCACCCCGCGCGTCGGCCCCACGCTCGGCCCTGACGGCTGCAGGGAACACGGAGCAGAGAGACTGGGAGTCGGCCTAATCCCGGTTCTTCTGTTGATGCGCCGGGTCATCCGCAACGTGCCGGCCGTTCAGAGCGCGTCAGTTCTGCTCCCTGGGGGACGAGGGGCCCCGTGCACTGTGTGCCTGGGGTGGCCGCCTGCCCAGCAGGGGCTCCTGCCTCTCTCTCGCCATTGCACACGTGTGCACACGAGCAGACACGCCGCAGTCCACGTCCCCTCCCCTCAGAGGCCCTGTCCTGCTCTGAGCCCTGCAGCCTGGAGGACCGGTATGCGTGTCCCTCTGGGTCCACCCTTTGGGACTTGGGGCTCAGCACTGGCCCAGGCGTCCCTGAAGCTCATGGCTACTTTTCTGCTGAGAGCGCTTGCCGGCTGAGGCCACGGCCTGGGCCAGCTCGGGGAGGCCCACAGGTGACTTCTCCGGGGTGTGGGTGGCCATGGTAAATGATGGAGAGCCCCCAGGCCCCGCACATGGCCGCCTCTGGGGAAGAGGGTCCCAGGGGCTCTGAGAAGCAGGGAAGGGTCTCGCCTTAGCTGTGGTTAACTCCAGCACTGCTCAGGCGTCCACGTCTACAAAGGCCCCAAGTGGCACCAGTTCCCATGGAGACACCCAGGGAGCCACGTATAGAGGAGGCCTCTTACGGATGTCTCCCCAGCGGCCACCCAGCCCCAAAGCAGCCACCGGGACACCTTTTGGGATCCGCAGGGAGGAAGGGGTTCAAGAGGCCACCCCGACACAGCAGAAGCCGCCTGGCGAGACCCTGCAGATGTTCCAGGTGGAAAAACCTCAACCCGTCCGTGGCAAGGAGCCACAGGACAGCCCACGCGACCCCGAGGACCCCGTCCCCCAACCCTCCTCTGCTCCGTGATGCAGACCGTGACCCGCAGTCCCGATTCCGGGGCGCAAGGGACACGCGATGTTGTTGGCCCACGTCCGCTATGCCAGCATATCGCTGTGTCCGCGCAAACACAGCCGGTCCCGGGGCCAGCCGGGGTCGCGGAGCTGGTGCCTGTGCGGTGGCGGGAGGAAGGCCGGACGGGAGGGCCTGACGCCGGAGAACAGAGACATTTTGTTTGTGGACTTTGGTAAAAGCCCGAAAGGTTAAAAGGAGCCTCCTGAGCTGCCAAGGCCACGGGACGGACACGGGACGGACACGGGACGGACACGGGACGGACGGAGAGCAAGTCCTGCTGCCCTGGCCCCCACGGCAGCCCTGCTGGTTCCAGGAAACTCCTCCCCCCTGTATCTGTGTCCCCTGCCCGAAGGGTGAGGGTGAAGAGGGGGAATTCCAGGGTTGGGTTCTGGAAACTCCCGAGAGGTTTGCACTTTGCTTTGTGCGTGTGCGCTGCAGCTTTGGTCTCAGGGGGATGCACACGGACTCACCTCGGCACGGAGTCCCCGGACCGTCAACAACCTGTCTGCAGACCCCGCAGACCTGGGCTTCCCTGAAGACCTTGTTCTTAAAACGGTGCAGACTTGCCGTCAGTTCTTCAGGCTGGAAAAGTCAAGGAGACACAGTCAGCTCTTCGACGCTTTCCAAGGGCAGTCACTCAGCTGAGCTTCACCCCCAAGAGCAGAGGGAAGCAGGGTCTCCCTGCCGGCGCGGGACCCCGGGGTCTCGGACGCCGTCAGCACCCCGACGCGCGGCCCCAGCGGAAGTGCGCCCCGGCCCCGCTTGCAACCCCGTCGGCGCGTCAGGAGCGCCGCACGAACCGACACCGCTGACGGGATCATGTTTTAGCTTCCAGGCAGGAGGCTTACAACCGCCTCCGCCCACGGCAGAGTAATCCAGGTGCATTCCCAGAGTCTTAACACTTTTTCTTCTGGAAGAGACAATGAGCAGCCAGCACAGTTATGTGCGGGGAGGCTGACGCAGGACTGTCCTGGCCCCCGGCCTCTGAGTCAGTGAGCATCTCTATGAGGACAGCAGTCGTAAGACCAGCCTGATAAGACACGAGGGTTCTGCCTGGCCGGTGTGGCTCCGAGGATGGAACGTCGTCCCACGGACTGAGAGGTCCCGGTCCCATCCCAGTCAGGGCCCACGCCCGGGTTCCAGGCTCGATCCCCAGTGGGGGGCGTGTAGGAGGCAGCCGATTAGTGTCTCTCTCTCATCTCGATGTTTCTATCTCTCTCCCTTAAAAAAAAAAAAATCAAGCCCTGGCCGGTTTGGCTCAGCGGTTAGAGTGTCGGCCTGCGGTCCGGAGAGACCTGGGTTCGGTTCCCGCTAAGGGCATGAACCTCGGTTGCAGTTTGTCCCCGGCCCTGGTCGGTCGTGCGGGTGGCAGCCACTCAACGTGTCCCTTCACGTCGATGTTTCTCTCTCTCTCTCTCCCTCCCACTCTATCTGTACAAAAAATGGAAAAATATCCTCAAGTGAGGATTAAAAAAAAAAAAAAAATCAATAAAAACACACTAGAAAACAAAAAAGATGCGAGGTCCCTCCTCAAGCCTGGGATAGCAGTGGATCCGTCACACACACTTCAGTAGGAGAAAAGTGAGCCCTTGTCACCCCCCCTTCGGGTCTGTGGACACCAGGCTCACAGCTGCGGATGACCTTGTACAAGTTCATCCTGCCCTAGAAACCAGACACCGATCACTGCGCCCACTTCTGGACCCGTGGCAGTGGACTGTCAGTAACGATCTCCGAGGCTCAAGGTTCACCACCAGGACAGCCCACGTTCCCTGAGAAGGGGAACTGTTTTCGGGAATGTGAAACAAATGGTACAACCATTTTGGAAAAACGGTTAGCCAATTTCTTACAAGTATTTTGACGTCTACATCAACCGTACAATTCCACTCCAACAGACACTAGAAAAAAAAAGAAATAAATGCAAATGTCCACAGACTTGTGCAAGAAAGGTCACAGCTGCCTGATTTATAATTGCTCCTAGTAGAAAACAACCCAAATGTCCATCAAAAGGACCCTGGAGCCTGGCCGGTGTGGCTCCGTGGACTGAGTGTTGTCCCATGATCTGAGAGGTCCTGGTTCGATTCCTGGTCAGGGCACATGCCTGGTTTCAGGCTCAATCCCCAGTAGGGGGCATGCAGGAAGCAGCTGATCAATGTTTCTCTTTCACATCAATGTTCCTATCTCTTTCTCCCTTCCTCTCTCTAAAAAAATCAATAAATAATAAATAACGAAATAAAAGGCCTGGATGAACCACCATGGTACATGCAGACAGTGGAACACTGTTCGGATACACACAAGAGCGAACTAGGAACCCACGCAGGTCACAGGCGCACACCAGGAGCACTGTTACGCTGAGCGCACGGCACAGCACACGGAACGGTTCTATCTGTAGGATGTCACGAGCAGGCAGCCTACTCCACCAGCTGCTCTGAGGCAGGGATCTACCACGACCCCCCGTCCCTGCAGGAGAAGGTCTGCCGGACGCAGGGCAGGACAAGAAACCGTCACCACCGGGTTGAGGCGGAGCTCAGAGTTCAGGCAGAAGAAGACGGCAGGACCGAGTGACGAGACAGAGCACCAGCCCGGAGAGCACGTCCGATCTTCACGAGCTCCCTCGGAAGCATCAGCTGAGTGCTGACAAGTGCACACAGGTGCACACACGTGTATGAGGGAGGGGCCCAAGGCTGTGGCAAGAAACAGCAGCACGGACTGGAGGAGACGGCACTCAGTGCCACCGAGCAGGGAACAGTGCCTGTCCCCAGCCACACCTGAAGGTCCGCGCTGTACTGCCGAGAACGCGTAGAAGGGTCTTGCCTCAGTGGTGGGGGGAAGTTACCTCCAGCCTGGGCACTGCTCCTATTCTGGCTACCACACCTGAAGCAGAGCCCAGGAGGACCAACCTCTCTCCCAGCAACTCACCTGCATTCCGGAACAAAGCAAGGATATCCGTAGGGATGAAAAACATCCAGCACCCGTAAGCCAAACTCACAATGTCTGGTATCCGATCGAAAACCACCAGGCATGCAAAGCAACAGGTAAACACATCCCGTGATGAGCATCAATCGGTGGAAAGTGACCCCAAGTTGACAAACTCAGCAGAGAAGACAGTAAGGGCGGCAGGGGGCGTATTCTAACTGTATTATCTTTGTTCAGAAGATAAACAGGGACCTCAAAGGTATAAAAAGATCCAAATCAAACATTTATAGGAGAAAAAGAAGTAAAAATCAGAGGTGAAAAAACACTGAGTGAGATTACTGGTGGACTAGACACAGCAGAAGACGGCACAGGACGAGCTTCCCAAAATAACGCACCGGAGGACGAGAACACCTAAGTAAGCGAACACGCAGGTACCCCCACAAACAGCATCGGTGAGAACAGAGCTGTGGGCCAATTTCAAGCAGCCTAACATGCGTGTAATTGGAGTCTCTGAAAGGCGGGTGGGGTGGTGGCATTTGAAGAAATAATGGTCAAAACTTTTCCAAACTATACACCTATAGGTCCAAGAAACTCAACAAATCCCACGTACAAGAAATGCAAGGGAGCCCGGCTGGTGTGGCTCAGTGGATGGATTGTCGTCCCAGGGACTGAGAGGTTCTGGTTCGATACCTGGTCAGGGCACACGCCTGGGTTGCAGGCTCGATCCCCAGTAGGGGGCGTGCAGGAGGCAGCTGATGGATGTTTCTCTCTCACATCGATGTTTCTATCTCTCTCTCCCTTCCTCTCTCTCTAAAGAAAATCAATGAAAACACATTCTTTAAAAATGTAAGGAAAAAGACACCAAGGCACAGGAGAATCCAACTGCTCAAACCCAGTGACAGTGAGAACAGCATAATCAAGTACCCACCGAGGGAAAGGGGCACATTACACACACGAACCAACCATGAGCAGAACGGCAGGTTTCTCAATCCTTAAAAAAAAAGCAGCAAGAAGACTGTGGGTCCCCATAAAGTACTTGAGAAACGCTGCCAATCTAGAATTCCATACCCAGCAAAATCATCTTCCCAAAACGAAGATGAAGTAGAAAATTCTTAAGATAAACAAAACCTTCAGCCACGCCAGCCGTCCCGCGTGCGCTGGCCACCCCCGAGTCTCCCCTGCTGTCCAGCTCTCTGCTGGTGACACAGTGTCCATCGTGACCCTTTCTAGCCACACCGTCCCCCAAACCCTGAGCTCTTCAAGTGCCTCAGCAGTCCTGTCCCTTAACCGCCATCTCCTGGTGCTTCTGTTGATCTTGTCAAGCCTGTCGAGGGAGGGGACGTGTCCTGCACAGAGCAGGAGGCTTCACATAACTCCAGCCACCTGCAGGACAAGGTCTGTGACCCCAGGCAAGTCACCAAGGGCACCCTCCCCCACCTGCCTATTAACAGAGCTCCGTGAGTGACCAGATGCTAAACCAGGTCCCAGCTGTGAACCCTGGTGGCCTCGGGGCAGAGACTGTCCTGCTGTGCGGCCCCACCCCGAGCCGCACCCCAGACTCATTAAAGCACATTCTCTGGAGGTGGGGCTGGAAACGAATTCTTTCAGAGTGCCCCGCAGGGTTCTAACGGAGCGGAGAGCCAGGGCCGCCACCGGGTGAGAGGCTACTATACAGATCCATTCTGCAGACAGGTTGCAGGCATCTTCATACGCCTGCCACGGAGGGACGACGGCACACGAAGTCCCTGACATCAGCGAGACCTGGATGGCGGCGTGCAGACCGAGACCACACCGCGGAGGGGCAAGGGTTCAGGCCCGGCCCCCACCCGGCTCCCACTCGGACAGGAGGAGGCATTCAGGCACCTGACAGACAGCCCTCTGTCCTACTCAAGGCCCTGGCTGCACATACATTTCCCCTCAGATTTGGGGCTTTTGTGCCTCTGGACCGTGAATCATGGGTCTCAACTAATATCTGTTGACCAAGTGAATTAGCCGTAGTCTGTGGGCCGGACACTGGGACCTTTTATTCCTTACAAATACTTTTGTCCACCCGGGGAGAAAGAGGCTGTGTTCCTGAGGTTCCCGGTGACGGGCCCCAGCTGGGAGGCCCCAGGGAACAGCGGAGCTGCTGTGGGGAGGCTGGGCCGTGGCTGGAGCCTGAAGATTCACTGAGGACAGTGTAGTCACATCTGCTCCTGGCGTCTGCACAGAACATCTCGGAGAAAGGAGTGGAGGCCGGATTAGACCGCCTTTGTTCTCACCTGAGATCCGCTTTCATTTCTCCCCAAGGGGTGGGGCTTGATGCGCGCGGGGGAGGGGAGGCCGCCGGGCCCAAGCCCAAGCGTTTAGCAGGCTCAGCTCAGGAATCTAAATGGCATTTAATTGCGCGGAGCAGACAGCTGGGGAAGGAGAGAGCCAGGCTCCTGGTCCCACAAGGGCTCCCTCACAAGGGTGCACCGTACTTAGTGCTGGTCTTGATGTGAGGTTTTATTAGAAAGAAAAAAAAAAAAAAAACCTCTGCAAATTGGAGAAGGACGTGCTGGACACGGGAGCAGAACCAGAGCCTCTGTTCCGCTGGACGTGCACGCCGGTGGCACAGACCTCCGAGCCCCCCCCCCCCTCCAACTGTGCTGACAAAAAGTTACGGGCACAAAAAGCTGGGTCAGCAC